GCCACACCCACTACAGCCAAAACCTCTGCATGCGTGGCAACAGAGGGAAGGCCTGGAGACCGACACACACACCCCGGCGACTCCGAGGCGAGTGGGCCAGGGGGCCCCCTGGAAGGATCGGGGAGGCATTTAAATGCCTCCCTGTCTTCCACAGCCTGTCCAAGGGCCGGCTTGCCCGGGCAAGCCAAGGGAAGGCAGTTTAAACTGCCTCCCCTCCCCTCCAAGGGCCAGCTTGTCCGGGATCCCTGCAGCCGTGGGGCGCCCAGGCAAACCAAGGGAAGGCCGTTTAAACTGCCTCCCCTCCCAGGGCCGGCAGGTGCGGGGCGCCCAGGCAAGCTAAGATAAAGCATTGGGTGTGGCCTAATATGCTAATGAGCTGTACTGTCAGGGGTGTGGTCTATTATGCTAAAGAGTTCCTGCTGGGCTTTTTCCACCAAAAAAAGCCCTGGCTGCAACCAATCAGCTTTTGTACCAAAGAGATAATATACAATTTATAATAGATGCAATCAAATTTGTGAATAAGAAAGAAAGCAGAATTTCTATTTCTAGATGCAAAGAAAGCATTTGACAACTTAATATGGCCTTTCTTATTGAATGTATTACAAAATACGGGCTGTGTCCTGCATTTTGGAGTTGGATACACGGAATATACTCGACCCAAAAAGCAAAGATTTTCATTAATGGGAAACTAACAGAAGCAATTTCAATTGAAAAAGGAACACGTCAGGGATGTCCTTTATCCCCTTTGTTATTTATACTAGCACTACATATTTTAGCTATAAAGATTAGACAGGACGACAGAATTGAGAGAATAAAAGTGGATGATGCAGAGTTCAAATGAAACGTTACGCATACGACATGGTTCTAACAGTCCTGAATCCCCAGAAATTGTTACAATATGTAATTGAATCCGTGGGCACTCCATGAAATTGCTGAGCGGTCGGGTTAAAACGGATAAAAGGAAGTACTTCTTCACCCAAAGAGTGATTAACACTTGGAATTCACTGCCACAGGAAGTGGTGGCGGCTACAAGCATGGACGGCTTCAAAAGGGAATTAGATAAGCATATGGAGCAGAGGTCCATCAGTGGCTATTAGCCACAAGGTATAGATAGGGACTCTGGGGCAAGTGATGCTCTGTCATCTTGGTGCTTGGGGGGGGGGGGTTCAACAGTGGGAGGGCTTCTAATGTCCTGGCCCCACTGGTGGACCTCCTGATGGCACTGGTATTTCTGGCCACTGTGGGATACAGAGTGTTGGACTGGATGGGCCTTTGGCCTGATCCAACATTGGCATCTCTTATATTCTTATGTTCTTAACATACTGAAGAACTTGGCTATAAATCAAGCTATAAAATTAACAGAAATTAACACAACAAGAAGAAGAGATTATAAAAAGCACTAGGTGCTCAACAGCCACCAACCCTATTAAATATTTGGGAATAAACGGGACTGGGCAAAACTGTAATCTTTTAAAAAATAACTAAGAAAATTAGGAAATCGATTCATGCAGATTTATTAAAATGGAAAAAAAAATCTAAACATCTCATGGCTGGGAATGACCTTGACAATTAAAATGAATATGCTGCCAAAACTAAACTTTTTGTTCCAAATTTTACCCATAGATATAGAAGAGAGAATACTGAAAGAGTGACAAAGACAGATAGATGAATTTATATGGAATGGCAAAAAAACCCCAAGAAGAAGCTTCAAAATATTACAAGATGAGAAAAAGAGAGGAGGTTTAGCAGTTCCAAGTATAAAATTATATTACCAGGCAGCAGGTCTGGTCTGGATTGTAGACTGGATTAAAAACCCAAGGCCGCGAATAGTAAAATTAGAATCAGCAGATCTTGATGAAGACCTACGCAATTACTTATGGATTAAGAAATTGATTAAAAAGATTGTAACACAAGAAAGAAGTCACGTAATCAGGGACTTCTAGGAATATGGTTTACACACCAGAATGTATTGAGCCCCTCAAACTCTTTGCTTATGTCCCCGATAGATGCTCATTATTATAAGAATACAAGAAGTAAAAATGATCTTTTAACTTATGGAGTGATGGTAAACACTCCAGAAAAACAAGTCTTGGCAAGATATTAAAGATGACGGTCTAAACATTCAATGACTGATGCATTATCAATTAGTCTCAAGACTAAAGGAGCTCATGAGTTTCTGAGGTGGAGTTCTAAGGGGTGCGACTGAATTTGAGCAGCTGATTATAAAACAAAAAGAGCATTTACTACGATGGATATATAAGATTTTACTCCAGCTAAAAACAGAAGATGACCCAATGAAAAAAAATGTATGCTTCAGCAGATGCAAAGCTTTAAAGGACAGATATCTATGCAACAATGGGAATGACTATGGGGGGAAAGGTATCAAATTTACAGTCAGCCAAACACTAAGAGAAAATTGGTACGAAATGTTTTTCAGATGATATAAAACTCCAAAGGACATTTAGAAAGCACATTACACTACAAAGGAAAATGCTGGAAATGTCAAGACATAGACGGAACCTTCTTTCATATGTGGTGGACTTATAAAAAAGCAAAAAGTTATTGGAAAGAAATACACCGAAAAATGCAGAATATATTAAAGTTTAGATTCCCAGTGGAAGCCAAGAGCATGCTGTTAGGCAGTCTGCCTAACAAATTACCCAAAGTTTTAGAAGAACTATTCAAACACATGGTGACAGCAGCTAGAACTTATTTATTTATTTAGGGTTATAGCCCTCCCTCCCCACAGTGTAAGCTCAGAGCAGGTTCCAGCATATCGATCTGCAATTTATGCAGATTTACATTTAAAATCTGTAAAATCAATAAAAGCATCACATATTAAAACAACAGTGCCTCAATACTAAAACACTGTGGTCCCAGTCTGGCTTCTCGGATCTGTGATCACGGAAAGGGAGGCCGATCAAGTAGATGCCCGCTGCCTCAACTTCCACTTTGGAGGAAGCTTTGAGCTCACTGAGACTTTTTGCAGCGTTCATTGAAAATTTTGGATAAATATTTTGGTACTTGGCAACCTTGTGCTTGGAGATATCTGTTGAACTCCCCGAGGAAGACACTGAAACAGGAGGATATCTGGACCTCTGTTCGAGGAAGACTGAGCACTTATTCAAAATAGACTTAAAGGAGTCCTCCCTCTTAAAACTTTTGTCTAATTAAGAAGAAGAGAGAAGAGATTGGATTTATACTCTGCCCTTCACTACCCAAAGGTGTCTCAGAGCGGCTTACAAACTCCTTTCCCTCCCCCTCCCCACAACAGACACCCTGTGAGGTAGGTGGGGCTGAGAGAGCTCTGACAGTAACTGCTCTTTTTCAAGAACAGCTCTTATCAGAACTATGGCTTGCCCAAGGTCATCCAGCCAGGTGCAAGTGGAGGAGTGGGGAATCAAACCCAGTTCTCCCAGATTAGAGTTCGCGCACTTTAATCACTACACCAGGAGAACTGATATTAATAAAGGGGTTGTGCAATATCTTTTGTGATATATTAAGAGAAGACACTTAGATGTTTCGATATATGATTCTTTCTATGTATTAAGGCTTATACGATAAATAATATATGGTGAATAAATTATAAAAATATAAAACAAAAAATATATAAAAATTATTTGAGATATTTTATAATCGTCTGTAGCACGGTGTTTGCTGATTTTTGGTATTTCAACTAAAGGCCCGGCAGAAGAGCTCCATCTTGCAGGCCCTGTGGAACTGTAACAGGTCCCGCAGGGCCCTGATCTCATGAGGTAGCTCATTCCACCAGGCAGGGGCCAGGGCTGAAAAGGCCCTGATCCTGGCTGAGGCAAGTTGGGACATCCCTAGAGCCAGGGATTTACGCAGCAAAATGGAAACTAGATATCTGTCCATGTTTAGAAGAATGGGAAAATAAACTTGCTGAATATGCAGTAATGGCAAAATTAACAACCTATTTGAGAAACAGGTCTATTACGAAATTTGAGGAGAGATGGAGTGCGTATTATGCTAGCAGGAGACAAATTTAAAGTGAGAAAACATCATATACAAATATATGGTAATGAAATAGAAGTAGAATTAAAATCTGTTCCAAATATAAATGGGTTCCCTACATGAGATATACAATAGACTTTCTTTTACACCATGATATACTACTTATCTATTAAAGGTATATGTAGAAGTGGCGGAAATATGTTATGTTGAATATATAGTAATGATGCAACCAGTGCAGTCAAAATAAGATTGGTTATGAAGTTTGAAATTTAAAACTTAAATGATGAATACAACTGTATCCCCCACAGAAATAAAAATTACTGCATTTTTATAGATAATGCCTTAAAAATTACAGGAGATGAAAGGGAAATTATTCTCTGTCCTATACATTATGCACTACATGACTGTCTTCATCAAATGTAATTATTTTGTATAACCCATTTTTTATCATTTCCCCTTGTCTGTGCCGTCACTGTCTGAAATAATTATTTTTTAAAAGTCGCAAGCAAATTATGGCAACAAGGGGCTTTCAAGGCAAGTGAGGTGGTGGTTTGCCACTGCCTTCCTCTGCAGAGGCTTCCTTGGTGGTCTTCCTTGCAAGTACCAACCAGTGTTCCCTCTAAGCTGAGTTAATGTGAGCTACCTCACAGCTTTTTAGCCTCCAGCTCACACATTTTTGTCTTAACTCAAGAAGGACGGCTCCAGAGCAAAACTAATTAGTGCAGTAGCCAAATCACTCACTCACAACTTTCATGCCAGTAGTTCACAAAGTAGAATTTTTGCTCACAGGACTCCACAGCTTAGAGGGAGCATTAGCTCCTGAGATGCGATAAGAACAGGCCATATCGTGCCGGTTTCCCTCCCCAAGAATATTTTCAGACTAGTGTTTTTCGGGTGATGGTAATTTCGAAATTTCTGTAAAGTATGTGCAAGCATCCCAATGCTTTCGGATGTTTCTGCAACAGCGGCTCTCTCAAAAGCACAAGCTACACCATCGCTACATTTCAGCAAAGTTGAGAACTTACCCACGAGCAGCTTTACATCTCGCACTGTGAAATCTGAGTCTGGCATCCTGCAATTAGCAAAGGGTGGGGTGGGGTGGAGAGAATCACATTAAGTACTATCAGCAGATCAATTAGGACCTTGGAATTCAGGGAGCAGAGAACAGATGAGAGGAAATTACCGCAAGAAGTGCCGCCCCGGGGCATATACCGATCTTGCTCAGCATTCCATCTCCTGACAGGGACTGGCAAAATGCCACATGAAAGGGAAGAGGCAGAATGTGACAGGGGGACCTATCCCTTCTCATTAATTCCCCAAATCTGCCAGGGCCAAGAAGCAAATCGTCTCTGAACCCAGAAGCTGCAGTTCTGGCCAACAAGGCCACCCAGTTATAGATACCCCCCCTCCAATAATCATACTCAATCATGCATGGCCTTTTCAAAAACTGCTTTACGTTGCTGTGCTGTAGCAATGAGTTCCACAGGTCAACGGGAGAAGGAGTTCTTTTTTCCTCCCTGTCTTATACTGATCAGTTATTCCTCAACACGCTACACTACAGAATCCTTCTGTGCAGAGACTCAGCTCTGCTTTCAACGGCCATATAAATAACTGTGTGGCTTTGGAGCGGTGGGAGCAAAAGAAGAATTTGATAGTTCTCTTGATGATAATAAAACTCACATACAGGGTTGACACAGCCCTTTTTAGAAGAAGAGGACGAGATTGGATTTATACACCGCCCTTCACAACCCAGAGGAGTCTAAGAGTCCCCTCCCCACAACAGACACCCCTGTGAGGTAGGCGGGGCTGAGAGAGCTCTGACAGAAACGGCTCTTTTTCAAGAACAGCTGTGCCAGAACTATGGCTTGCTCAAGGTCATCCAGCAGCTGCAAGTGGAGGAATGGGGAATCAAACCTGGTTCTCCCAGGTTAGAGTCCGCGCACTTAACCACTACACCAAACTTAGCACATTCAAAGGGTTTCACGTTAATTTCTACAACAATAACTCAGCAGGGTAAGTTGGTATTAGCCTTATATCGCAAATGAGAGGCTGCCAGAGAAGACTGCCCAAGATCACTTAACAAGTTTGTGGCAGGGGGGAGACTGGAACCTGTGACTGCCTGAATCATAGCTCAGCCCCAAAACCTAAATCAGCTCTTAAGACAATGAAGATTTTTCTTCTAGATGCTGCAGAGGTAGGAGAAACCACACTTGTCAGAACTGCATACAAAGGATAATTCTTAAAAATTCAAGCAGGAGTCCAGTTTATAAATCACTGCTCTACCTACTGAAGAGCTTTCCACCGTAACTCTTGGAGGTGAACTAATTTCCAGTCCCTGTGCTAAAGAGGGCCCTCATTGATGAGGGGCCTCAGCTCTGGAGATTCGCCAAAGCCAGAGCTTGTGCGTCTTCCAGACGCAGCACAAGACATTGTTCAAGCTGGCTTTCGGCAGCTGGGGATGGGGCAGAATGTGTTGCTGAGCCCGTGAGAAAGGGCGGGCCATTGTTCCGATTTTTTTTTTAAAAAAAACAGATAGAATGAGACGTTAAGAGCACAGCCTTACTTAATTCCCAGTCCATCCTTACTTCGGAAGATGAGGGGGTTTCGGAGGGCTTCTCGCTGCACGTACTCAAAAGTGAAATCTGGTTGAAAAGGGAAAGGGAGAAAAGAAAACAGGGTCCTTTCAAGCCAGGCCTTTACAAGCAACTCTGTCTGTCTTTCTGCCTGCTGCCTACACAATTTGGCCACGATCAAACCCACCCACCCAGCTCTACTTCCGCACATCTTTATTACCGGATTTTTTAAAATTGTTAATCAACCAGATAATTTAAGAAACTGCCTCCTTATAAAGAAAATCAGCTGCAGAATTTATTTATTTTTTGAGCCCCCAGAGGGGATTTTTTAATTGATTTTTTTTAACACTACAAAAAACTACAACAGAAAAGGGGGAGGGGAAAACTACATATAAGGGAGAAAGTAAAGAACCCACTACTGACTAAAAACCCAAGAGAGGAGATCCTCACTAGCTTTCCCCCCCCCCATCCAAACTTATCCAAAGTTGACTAATCACCCCGCCTTTTAAACAATGAGTGAATGAACAAAATGGAAAGGAATTAAATGCAACTTCTGCATTGGCAAGAGTGAATTTTAAACAGCGGTGAAGGGAGCATGGATTCTTTCTTTTTTTACTGTAATAAGGATGAAACGGGGGGAATTAAAATTGCATTGCTTTGTAACAAAACAGAGTAGCTTTTAAATTTATTACACAACAAATGACCTTGTATTTCCTTCCATCTTTCATATACTTAGTTTCTTTCACAAATGCATTTTAATCCCGACCTTGCTGGTAGACACAATTCCTCTTCCAGATTTATCCTCACAACACCCCTGTACAGTAGGCTTCCCTGAAAGATGGGGGACTGGATTGAGCAATTATTTTCACCCTGGTGTCTCCCCATCACCAAAAAGGCAATTTCATTGAGGATTTTGGTAGCATATTATCTGAATGGTTGCATTTTATCTGAATGGGCTGATTGATCAAAAAGGCAGACAAATAAATCAAACCAAACTCCCTTTAACCAGCCTTAATTAAATCAATTTTTAAAAAACCTAATCCAAACTGCGCAAGGGACATTCAAGAGGGCAAAAAGATCACCCAAGAGGCCTAGCACCAAAGCGCATGGCTTCTGAAGAACAAAAAACGGTAGGAACCTAAGAATTAAGCAAAGGAAAATATGCTTCTAGGATATCATATCCGTTGGGGTTCGGAGCATGAAGGATAAAACCGGCTTTTTATACCTAGATACCTTTCACTCATCTCAGTGGATGGATCGCTTAACCCAATGATTTTATGCAAGTGATTATACAGGGGAAGAGTCCACCACATCGGGTGCAAAGGGCTACAGAAACCTCCAGATGGAACAAGGCACGGAAAGGCCTAGCCGGGGTCACCCGGAGGCAGGGAGAAGGCAGCCGGGAGAGACCTGCGATCCTAAGTCCAGCGCTCCCCCAGCTGCTGCTGCCGCCACCTCCGCTGCAGGCTCGCAAACGGGCTCTCCGAGGGGAAGGGGCAGAGCCTGCGCCCGGTTTGCCCAGCGCCCTTCCAGGCGGGAGAGGCAGCCGCAAGCCGGCAGAGGTTCCCAGGCCAGCGGAGCGCTCCGGGTGGGAATCCCCCCTCCAAGCCCAGCCTCCCTCTCCTCTCCCCTCCCGCCCGGCCCCGTGGCTTCGTCATCGGATCCCCTGGAACTCGGGATGCTGCTGCTGGCGGGAAATACGAACCTCGCCCGGCGAGGCGCACGTGGAAAGCCGTCGGAGAACCCGGGCCCCTTCCCTTCCCCGCCCGGCGCCCGCCCCTACCTTTCCCTTCCATGGGCCGGACGAAATCCCCGCGGTACATCTTGCTCCTCAGTTTCTCCTCCAGATTGAACCCCCGGATGCTGACGATCTCCTCCACGTCGGACAGGTCTTCGTTCTCGTCGTACAGCCGTCGCCCAATCGATCGCTGCAGGGCCCGGCGCGGGACAGGCGTGCGGAGAGAGAAGAGCGCCGTTGGAACGCGGCGAGGCAACCCGGGACACCCCCTCCCCACCCCTTCGATGGGCAGATATTCGGGGGTCGTGTGGCTGTTAAGGAGGCAGGCATTCCCAAACCCACCCGGATCCACAGACGCCGGGCCGGCCAGTTTTCAGACATCCCAGGCAGGGTTCTCCGCTAAAGGGGTGCTGCGTAAGAAGCTCCCGGATTCCCCAAAAACTGGGGAGCGGGAGGGCTTCCGATGTCAGCCCGCTCCGGGTCGCCGCTCCAGCCTCCTCCTCGGGCGGCCGGGCCAGAGTCCCAGGCGCGTGCGAAGGGGGGGG